TTCTTATACATTTTGAAATTGTTCAAAACAAGCGACCTCTATGCATAAAATATGTACTGACCGTGAGCACCGCGGTCACGCGTCCCAGAATACTTTGCGAGGCCGTTGACAACACGTCAAAAATGGCAGATCCAGCGCCCAGCAAAAGTGATATCGAGGAAATTTTTAAACGATTACGAGCCATTCCAACAAATAAGGTTTGTTCCTTCATTTATTACTTCGTACAATCCTACACATTCAACTGTACCACGAATGTACGGTATTATACCAGATAACGATCTCAAACGTGGCCTCATATTTTCATTTCCAACCTGTAATTTTCCTAGAATCTTTAGTTTCTGAGTGACCCACATCATAGACTAATTTGTATCACCTTATGTTTTACAAATATTGAAAATAATTCTTGACCCTCGTGACGAAAAAGAATTTGACTTACAATTTATAATTAGGAAGTTGAATGGAATATGAGTATATCAAATATTTATTTATATGATGTTTCCGAATGTTCTTTCAGACATGCTTCGATTGCAATGCAAAAAATCCAGCATGGTCCAGCGTAACTTACGGTGTCTTCCTATGCATAGACTGTTCCGCAGTTCATCGAGGACTAGGAGTACACTTGACTTTCGTCAGATCCACTCAACTTGATACAAATTGGACTTGGCTACAATTGAGAAATATGCAATTGGGCGGAAATGCAAATGCAGTTAGTATTCTCACTAATAAAATTCATAATTAACGAAACAATAAAGTCGTTATCTAATTAATAATCTCATTTGTGTTTGTGCTTCTCAGAGAAAATATTTTTCACAACATAATTGTACCACGACCGATGCTCAACAGAAGTACAAGTCACGTGCTGCTATGCAGTACAGGGAAAAACTGGCTCAAGCATCAGCACAGGCGATGAGACAATATGGGAGGAAGGTGAGCGGACAATATTTATATACGTGAACATCTTGGCAAATGTACAGGGTGTTTGGTAAATGGTGGACAAAACTTTAGGGATAGATTCCTAATGTCTAGGGAAGTCAAAAAAGTTATATTAACATAGGCTCAGAAATGATTAGTTTCTGAGTTATTAAATCGGATTTAAATCCGATGAGCGTGGAGGCCAAGAAATTGGCCCATCTCTAGCTATCCACTTATTAGGAAACATTTAATAACTCAGAAACTAATCATTTCCGGATCTACGTTCATATAACTTTTCTTTTCCTCTAAGTATTAGAAATCTATTCCAAAAGTTTTGCCCACCATTTACGAAATATATATCTATACATTTGAATAAAGTAAGCAGATTATAACTACAGATGTGCTAATTATAGGTTTCTCTTCCTTCAACAAAAAATAAGAGAACGGTGAGCTGTAGATCTGTCTCCACTGAAATCTCAGATTACTAATATTCGCTAAGTGCTTTACTTAAAAAAGAATTTCATTAAGGTTGCTAATTTCATTATTTTATTCACAATCTTTAACAATTCCGATAACGTGCACAAATTTATTCACTGATTATTAAGTATCTTGTCTTACTAGTCGTACACATAAATTACCTCAGGCTATTTTTGGATTATATAACTAACGCGTTCAACATGCGCAGTTTTCGAATTAAGTGTCATAAGAAGGATTACATCTAAAAATGTTTATATTTACGTTTCTTAAGGACGTTTTTCCCCTGCAGTTGCATTTAGATGATGGTGCGCCGTCGGCATCTGGAGAGCAACCCGAGGTTGATTTCTTTAAGGAGCATGAAAATATTGAAGCACGACATAACGAATCTCCTGTACATACAGAGGAGAATTCGATTCTTGCTTCTAATTCCATACAGAACGATGACAGCGGGGAGAAAAGTAATGGGAAAGGTTCCTCAGACATCGGTGCTAATTCCTTAGGACCTACTGTGAAATTATCTGACCCTACGCCCGTCGTAGTACCCGAACGGAAACCTACCATAGGAGGCAGGAAAGTTCAAAACAGACGCACGGTAAATACACAAATATTTATATATCCAATATTTATAATTATGAGTTTTATAAATGTACGTTTTTTATCCTCTGCACTCGATTTGTTTTCAACGAGTACAGGAGTACTTCACGTTCCATCATGACGTACGAGTGCAAAGGGTTAATATTTTAAAGTACTAATATATTAATTGATTAATAGTTGGGGAAGAAGACTGGAGGTTTAGGTGCTCAAAGAGTTAAGACAAATTTTGACGAACTAGAAAAGAGTGTCGTTGAAGCTAGCAAAGAAACGCAGGAAAAGGATCACGAAGAAAATACTAAAGAAGAGCAAGAAGAAATTTCCACCCGGCTCGCCTATCGATACGAGAAGAATCTGTCTGAACAGGCTAAACAGATAGAACAGAAAATGAAGCAGTTGGACCCTTCCAAAGTAACGCAAGCGGAACGTCTTGGTATGGGATTTAATGCTCGAAGGTACGCTCACATTTTACTTATAAATTCATTTATTAAATCACATGTATTCTATTTGTATATTCACATATTCGTGTGTAAATACTGATTTAAGATTTGATATAAAAATATTTAACAAAAAAGAAGAAATGAATACTAGAAAATGCGATACAGTGTGTTGAATTGCATACAATTTATAGCGGTGCGAGTCACTCTGCGCTCGGTGACATGGAGACGATAACACAGGAAACATCGTCGAAGACCGTAACTGCTTTTGAACTGCTTCCGAGAGACGTCGACATCGAACGAGATCTCTTCATTAGTTTAGACGAACCCTACGCGGCCTTAGCATCTCTCATCAATGCTAACAACAAATCTCGTAACGAGGAAGTTGTTGTCATCGCGGAGCCGGAACCACCGAAACGAGTAGCTCCTCTCAGCAGACCAAATCATAGTAAGAAGGACACTAAAACGACAACGATAGAAGGAGGAGAAGCGCAAAAGAAGTTCGGTAGTGCGAAGGCTATCAGTTCAGATCAGTATTTCCAAGATAGCAAAGACGATGATTCTGTGAGTTAATATTACGTCTATTAATATACCATGTCTTTAATACTATTTATTATTTTTTTCTCCTTTTAAATAAAA